TCCGTTTGTGCTCACCCCTGTGCAAGGCAGCGTCTGGCGAAACGCAGCCCCCTCCCCATGCACACCCACCCACCCAGGAGGAGGAGAAAGCCTCTGAGCAGCGCCGGCAGGTACCGCGGTGACAGGTGTCTTGGCAATTAGTAGGAAACTGGGTGTCTGTACAAGTTCTGTTGCAGCACCGTGGGGAGGGAGGGGAGAGGAAATAAAGACAAAAACAGGAGGAAAAAAATAAACAAAAACCAAGCCAAAACACAACCCAAAATCGGTGAAGCTGTGGTGCTGCAGGGTGGGCTCAGGGGATGCCAAACTGTACAACCAGTTCTTCTTTGGCGTCGACGCGGATCTGTGAGAGGGCGCTGAAGGGTGGTCAGTTATCCGGGACTCCTGCGGGCGCAAGCACAGCAGCTGGCATCAGCAGCAGCTCCAGCAAACACAGTTACCCCAAAGAAAATGCCTCAGGGAGCAGCGGGGTGGGTGGCCCTGGCACATCCTGCAGCAGTGGGGCACGGGGACCCCTGCAGCATCCCACACCCACCCCACGGCCCTCCCAGCCTTGGCCATGCCAGCCTGCCCGTAAGATGGGGAATGACACTTGCTCCATCCCAAAGGTGGTCTCCATCCCCAAGGATGCACAGACTGTGCCCTGAGATGCTGCAGCAGCAGCCCTCTCCCCAGGGAGGGGGCCAGGAGGCCCCTGGACAGCACAAGTCTCTTTGGGTCAAAAAACCCAAAGCCTTTAAGACCCCCAAAACCAGGCTTTTGTTCTCAGAGCAGAGGTTGTGCTGTCAGGGCCAGACCCATCCCCGCGTCAGCCCAGGCCCTGGGAGAAGCCTCGACACCTTGGCCACCCCACAGCTGGGGGGAAGCCGGGCTGCGCAGGCAGCTCCCAGCACGGCAGCTGCGCAGGAGCTCGCTGCAGGCAGGTACAGGCAGGCGAGCTCACCGCAGCAGGCAAACCCATCCTCCGAGTGGGACCTGCGGCCATTCCCAAGATCCAACCTGGCAGAGAGGGCATGGCAGAGCTCGGCTGGCTAAAGGCTGCCTGCCGCTGCCTGCACAAGATCAGGCCTGGCTGTGGCTTTGCCAGGACCTGCCCAGATACCGGCCTGTCTCTGTTTGGGAAGGGGTTTCTGGCAGCGCAGGGACAGGCTCTTCTCCCCGCACACTTCAGCGGTCAAATGCCCTGTCTGGGGAGGAAGGGCCGTGAGCAGGACAAGCCGCAGCGAGGGCTCTGTTCCAGGCTGCCCCAGCACCTCCCACGGCTCTGGGGAGGGGTTCCCAGGCCTCGCCATGGTGGGGGGAACAGGGAGACCCACCCTGCTTAATAGGCAAGGTGGCAGCTCCTGCCTGTGAGGAAAAGTCTTTCCCTGGTAGCTCCTTCCTCAAAGCGGCAGCAGGACTCCCCGGGAGCGAAGCTGCCTGTGCTGCAAAACCCCTGCTGCCGCAAACGAATCTGTGAAGGGAGTGGAAGGAGCACAGAGCCACTGCCTGCATGCAGTTACTGCACTAGAAACCCCTGACCGGGCCTTGCCCTCAGTGCTAACGAGCCCTTACGGGGCTGCCTGAGACTCAGGATGTTTCTGCATCAGCCACAACATCACCCACCATCACCGTGATTCCCACCTCCATGCTCATAGGAGCCCTGGCACAGCCTGTGCTGGAGCCCATGGTGTCCAGGCTTCTCTGCTGAGGCTGCACCAAGCTGAAGACAGCAAGAGCGGCCGCTGGGACCTGCCCGGGGCCCTCCAATACAGCCAGGCTGCCGCCGATAAGCTGGAGCAGTCACTGCCGCAACTGCCAGGGCTCCCGGTGGGCAGGGCCAGTGCCGTTGCTCCTCGGGGATGAGGACACTTCAGCCCCGACATCTCAGTTGAGCACTGAGCGGGGCCCAGGGGCCGGCTGTGGGGCAGAGCTCACCCCCAGCCCCTCTCACCTGCTGCAGGTCTGCGAAGGGGACGGGGTCACTGGCGAGCACTTGGTGCGGCTGGTTGGTCAGAGACGGCAGCAGCGGGAGCTTCTTCCAGTGCGTCAGGTTGTTGCTCAGCATGGCCAGGCGTGTGCTGCGGAAGGGAGAGCAGCGAGGGTCAGTGCCGGCACCGGGGAGGAGTGCGCCAGCCCACCCCGGGGAGCGATGGGACACAGGGAGACCCAGGCTCAGGCAGAAAATGGGTGCTGTGCCTTCAGGCACCGGCACCACCGAGAGGGAGCTGGGGAGAGCCGCGCTGCACCACTCCCGGCATCCACCCCTCTTCGCTCCCCAAGGCAGGAGGACGAGGGAGCTTCCAGCTCTCTAACACAGGCGCCTTTCAAGCGGGAGCAATCACTTCCAGCCACCCGCCGTCTGCCTTGAGTGCCAGGGGGGAACACAAGAAGCCCTTTGTGCACAGCCGCTCTCGCCGAGCCCATAGCTGGGACGAGGGCTCTGCTGCTGGCACTGCCACGGGCCTCACCCAGCAGTGCCAGGAGGGCGAAGGAGAGGAGCAGGGCTGAGCACCACCTCCCTGGACACTGAGTTTACCCTCCCGAGGCCCAAAACCTGAGGCCCTCCCTGCCCGATGCCCTCCTGCCCTGCCTGGGGACACGCTTTGAGGGGCTGTGAGCATCCCAAGGGAGCAGGGCCGGTCCCACCTGTACTGCCTGGCTCTGTCCATGTACTCATGCTGCCCCATGCCCTGGGAATCCGCTGCCGACACGTCGATGATGTTGCTGCAGACACACAAGATAGCAGGTCCTGTTGCGAGCTCATCGCTCCCCCCAAGCCCCTCGCCATCTCAGGCAGACCGAGCACCCTCCAACCAGGGCAGACAGGACTTCAGCACCCTCCAGCACCCCAAAATGAACAACCTGCAGCTGTTACAAGGCCAAAGTCACAGCATGGAAGTGGCCAGCTGGATGCAAGTGTGGCAGGCTGGAGCAGCTGCGTGCCGGGAGGGAAATGCCAAGGACTCTTTGCCTGCAACCACCCTGGGGCAGATGCAGAGCCGGGGGATTTGGTCTGCAGCCTCCTGTGGCGCGGGCAGGCCCGTGCTCTGGGGACCTCGGCACGCAGCCACTCGGGGAAGGAGGCTCTGGCATGCCACAAGGGCCGTGAGGATTTAGCACTTGGCAGACATCCTGAGAGACCCGGTACCGGGCCATGGGCTCAGAGATGAGCTGGGCACTTGCCCAGGTCCATGCCGCAGCCCAGCCACGTGCCCCCCGCCTCCCCCCACCCTAGCAGAGCAGTGCTCAGGGCTGCTGTGACATGGCATCAGACACACACCGGTTGCCACCGGCCCCTCTGTGCCAGGCAGGGGAGCAGCAGGGCCCACGAGCCAACCAAA